GATCTTCTCTCAAGTCCTTTCCTGCTCAGTCCTGAGCATCTCCCGTTAAACTGAGAGCCGAGTCCAACACGGAGAAGAAAACAACATAGCCGCTCTCTGGATGCCTCTCACTACTTTGCGATGTTTAGGGTTTTTTCCCCATCTCGGTTGAAGAAGTAACACCTCATGCCCCTAAGGGGAAAGTCAAGAGGTCAGGCCTCCACCCTGATGGGCTAACTTTCCATACGCAGGCCATTTTGGCCAAGGAAGGGCATTCAAGCATAAAACACGTACCCTCCTTCGAAGCCAGTATTGACACATGCACGCTCAGCGCATGGCTGCAGGCAGAGAGGATACGGTCTGGAAACTTAACAGTGGGATTTGGGGGCGTGATCAGGAGGGGTGGCAGATTTAATCCCAGTAAAGCTCTTTGACATTCAGTGCTCTAAGGGAGTACGGTTCATTGCTACTGTTCAAACTCCAAGGGCCCGGCTGAACTTCCCTCTTCTCAGAAGCACACGCGAGAGGGTGGCTTGCTGAGTTGAATATTCTCTGCCCCGAACCGGAGAGTTTCAGCCTGCCCCGAACATGTGCTGGGCTCCAGTGCTGACTTATCCTGTGGCCCATCCTGTCGGTCATAAACAAGGGCTGATTTCAGAGGAATGGGTGAAGCTGCCCCGTACAGGCTCATAATATTCACCCGTTGTAATGGGCGATAGGAATAACCTTGAGGAACAGGAGGAAGAGCAACGAAAACAACGGTTAGAAAAAGGAAACGTGAGTCCGAGGCAGAAATGTAATTTGAGAAAGGGTCTCAGGCTTGACCCTCTCTAGTTCCCACGAAGATAAAGGGAGGGAGGGGGGAAGCGTATTACGACTTGCAAGACTGAGGTCAGCCCTTTTAAGCCAGATCAACCTAGGAAACCAAAAGTTGAATGCTAATACTACTTTTAGTATAAGGTTACAGTAACAGAATCTTGCCAGTCCAAATACTCTCCCTTTATCTTTGTGATTACCAGGGCCAAACCTGAGACGCTTTCTCAAATTACATTTCTGTCTCAGACTCGAATTTCTTTTATCTGACCATTCTTTTGATTGCAACTCTTCTTCCTGTTCCTCAAGGTTATTCCTACTTCCCATTACGCCCATCTAAGGAAGACCCCAGCTCTTCATGGGGGGGGGCTTTCTTCGGCCTACTGGATCGGGCACCTTCTGTGTGCTGCAGCGGACTTTAAGCTATGACTTTTCCTCTAATGCTTGGCCAACGGGATGGTCAACCCTGTAGTCCCCCACCTGGACGCTTTGATCTGAATCCACTGGTTCGTGTTGACCGGGATGGTGGAACGCAGGATCACGGGTTTGGAGCCGAGGTCGTAGGTCATTTGGACACGGCTGTCCACGATGGCCAAGGCGATGTAGTCAGATCGATCCAGACCCTTCCCGCTCCACAGGATGAGGCCCTGTGTGGCTTCCGTCTTGATGCTGAGCTCAAAGTAGTTTGACTGCAGGGCCTTCTCGCTGCATTGGGATGAAAAGGAGAAGTCAGTTCAGGAAGCAGAGAGGGGTCCCCCTCTGGAGCTCACGCAAAGCAGATGACCTCTTGGTATCTTCTCCCAGGACTCTTTCACAGCCTCCAGTCTGGCACCAGTTGCCAAGCCCCAGGCTGCTTGCATGTGGCCCTAGACCAGACCATCATGTGTCGCATTCTGGTTCTGAACACATCAACCAAACATCTGTAGTTTACAAACGGCAGTTGATGGCTCAGGATGTGCCAACCCAGCTGATGATGTTTTAAATTCAAATTAAACAAAATGTAGCTTAATGGGAGGGGTGAACCCAATTTCTAATAAGACTATGAATCTAACGTGGTTCATATGGCACTAATTGGTAGGCAGTTCATCTTCCCCGTGATGCCGTTTATGTTTTAAAATTATTTTTGAAAGGCTGTGCCGTATATTTCTGGAATTTAAAGTCTCGGGGACTCTGTGGCTTCCGAAGCCCAGAGTGAGATAACCAACTAACCAGAACCAGTTTTACCCACGCCTGGTTTATTCCATGCCAAGATCTCTCTTCTTCCCAAGAGGTTTGATGAGAGCAGAGAAGATCAACATCCTGGCTGGAGATGATTTATCAAGCATTTCGTTGTCACGGAGTACAATATGCACACAGGTACACACGTCCACACAAGACGAAACACACAACAACACGGGAAAAACAAGGACGCTGTTTTCCCCCTCCCGGACACAGGGGAGAAATGGATAACTCTGGGCAAAAGCTATTTGAGATGAAACGGAAAGAGGAAATTGGCCGTTTAAAGGCCTGGAGTTGAAAGCCACCACCGTGATTCATTCCAATGTTTCTCAAGAGGAGGAGGCAACTATAAAAGAGTGGTACTTCCCTGGTCAGAGGCAGTATACCCTTGGGCACCAGATGCTGGGAAAAGTCAACAGGGCAGGGAAGTTGCCTTCGTGCCCTGCCTGCGTGCTACCCAAGGGATCCTAGTTTCTAACTGTGGCTGAATCATTAACCTGGATAATTCTTAAAACTCTACTTGAGATGGGAGCAAGATAAGCATTGGAATTACTAAGTAAACCTCCATGACTTATCAGCTACAATCCTGATTAAAAAAAAAAAAAAAATCCTGCTTTTTCTTCATTGGCTGTTTTCTGGCTACGATGGATCTTTCCTTCCCTTTATCTCTTCTGTGAACAGAATTAAGAATCACCTCAATTAAATCCCTTCTCTTCTAGCGGCCACAGCAGCTGTCAGCTTTTTTAAGGACGATCAGCTCCATGCTGGCCATTTTTTTGGAAACTTTATTTTCTTTTGCAAGCTGGTTGGATTAACGCCTTACAGCAATTTAGATAATTGAAATCAACTCCCCAAATGCTGCAAAACTGGCGGCCCTCCGCTGACGGTGGCCACATCCCATGACGGCTACAAGCTAATCCATCTGCAATTGACAATGAATGGACCAGATTAATAATTAACTGGCTGGATTGGGGCAGATCTGTGAAACCCACATGGCCTTTCTATGGGGATGATTTCAGGACCCAAGTCCAATGGAATTGGGGAAACTGAAGCCGAGGAACTGTGGGGAGGCAACATAAATTTGATGAACAGAAAGTACCTACATAAGAACTATAGAAGATGGAGTTGGAATTTGTCACTTTCTCTGATCCTAGGATCCTGTGGGCCCCCAAACCTTGTTATGCCTTGGAGACCCAGTCTGAGGAACTCTGGTGTCTTATAAAAGCTGGGAAATATGAGTAATACAGTGGTACCTCGGGTTACGAACTTAATTCGTTCCGTGACTCTGGTTGCAACCCGAATTGGTCGCAACCCGAAGCACATTTCCCCATAAGGTTCAATGTAATAACCGTTATTCCGTTCTGGC